TGTTCTTATCGGGGAACTTTTCGGTGCAACTTCCTATGCAAATGCTTGTACAGCTATAATAGAGCTTTTGTTTTCATTTGAGGTATTAATTAATATTTAACGCCACCCCAGTCTTTTAAGGAGGAAAACACTTTAATAGTTTATATACCCTATTCTTATACCCGAGCTTGCACGGCTGCAGAATCATGCAACTCACGAAAAAGGCCTATAAAGAGTTCTGATGTTGTTGTTCACTTATATGTGCTCAGTGGCGAAGAAGTAAAATCATAATTAAATAGCCGACAAACATTGCTCCACTATCGTCCAGACAAACATATACAACATTGACTGAGAAATATGCTGTTTGTAATCTTCTAAATATGATTTGTAAATGATATGACCAATATGGAACCAGTCCTGGTCAATGTTGTAACCACAACCTGCGTCTACGACCCGATTTGTAACCTCCTGATTTTATAACAGAACCCATATTCTTGCCTTGATACATTTTGCAGCTTCCCTGACCATAATCAGACCAACTCTCGATCCTTGATCCGGTTTATGAGGTACTCATGTACTTGCCTATTGAAGGTGAGGCAAAATGTTAGCGTTGTTATCTCTCAGGAATTTTCACAGGGGATGGTGTGTGGAATAAAAACGACACAGTAAAAGCAGAAATAACGAGTCTATAACACTGTCTAGTTCCATCTAGTGATCCTAGTTATCTTGTTTATCAATGAAAATAGCGAATTTAGTCACATGCTTATCTTTCCAATGAGTCTTCATGCAGAGAGATAAGGACCCTATAATCACTTAAGTGCTATTTCATAATGATGTTCTATATTTATGTTTAAATTGAATTAATCAACTTAATATGTAAGATCACGTTGGGGGTGCCCGTATTTGATTGGAATAGATATGTTATATATGTTTTATAAATTTTTGGTTTGAGATTGCAGGCTGTTCTGTAGTGGTATTGTGTGACGTAATTAAAGCAGGAGAAAGTCGACGCAGAAACAAGAAAGTCAAATGTATACTGACAAGTCTAAATTGGAGACGGGATAAGTAAATATTTAATTTCTGTTGGTAACTGTAGAGTTTAAGAGGTGCAATTGTAAATTCATTGAAAGAATGGGAAAAGTAATAGACCCGCTAAATCGCTGAAACCAGCACAAAGTACGAACAAAATACAAATTACACAGCGGGACATTAACAACTATACAATATTAAGATCAGCAGTGTTCTGGAACAAAATGTGCTTTTCTGCTTCTTCAATGGGACCTGATATATAAATCTAGGTCATAGTTATTTCACGCCCTAATAGAGACAATATTTCGTCAAGGCAAGATATACCTGTTGCCAATAAAAGACCAATAAGAGAAAACTAAAGTATTAACAAGATCATTGAGCTCAAGATCGATACAATCAGAGCAAAATATGAACAAAGGAGATCTTAACACGGAGACCCTTGAACAGGTACAAAGGGGAATACGTTTTATTGTTGCGGAATGATGGGCGTCTTCTACCTCCTCGACGACACCTGCCATGTTCATCTAGGTCAAATCAAAGTAGTGTCACGTCTTCACATCAAGAGCTTGATGAGTGACAATAAAACCACAAGGCACACTAACGGGAATAATAAAATACACCGACCTTCATATGGCACAAAGAAAAACCAAATGTAATGGTATTAATGGAAATGAAATGAAACTTTGTAAGAAATAAATAGCTACATAAGCAGATTGTTGAATGTTTCAATAGATAAGGATGATGGGTAATATCATTTGCATATCACTTGGTTATGATAACAGAGCTAAGGACAAGACCTCTTACTTTTCGTACAGAGGTACAGTAATTAGTATTTTTCACAATCCCCATGCTCAAACTATGTGGTAAGAAATATCAGTTTACAGAAAAATGAAAAGTCATTGTATAAAATGTAGAATAATAACTATTAAAGCCAAAATCCTCAAAGCAACATTTATCTCTTTCTTACTGTTGTATTCTTACTGACCAGTACGTCTAAATGTTATTTTCCAAAATGTTAAACGTATTGAAGTTCACTGTACGCGGATATGTTATGCCATAAACGTTCTAATTTTCATATTTGTACAAACTTGACGTGAACTACGCAAGATAATGACATTTTACAAGCAGCACACTATCCTTGATGACCTTAGATTTATATCATTAGATCGACTACTAATGAAACTGTACGTGCCTGGGGCAATTTATCTACACAAATGATATGTTGTATCTGTATTGGCGAAGCAATCAGAATTGGGTCCTTATCACGATGGCCGAATAGTACAAACTTAAAAAAAAAAATGTCGGTGAAGCGATAAAACATTTGTTTTTTTATGATTCAAATGGGTGTTCCTTCATCATGAGCAAAATCCAACACTAACGTTTTGGCTACTGGAACCCACCAAAAACCTCAACAATGTCAAAATGATCGTGTAAAATGTTCACCCTAACCATCTACACAGCTATCCAGTATACAAGTATTATCTGGAATTCATTAACCATTTGATGAGGCGCCACTAGACATACTGCATATACGCTGTAACAGTAGCTTGATAGTCAAAAAACATAGCATTTCCAACAAAATTGGTAAATAATTTAAACTCTAAAATGTTTTGGAAACTTTGGTCATCAATGACCGTAGCAGGATTTAGGACGAACCAACGATTTTACACTGAATAACTGAGAACTGAATATAAAGGTTGGTTTCCGAATTATTTGAGTGATCATTAGCAAGGTTTTGCTCCACTACATATCAAACAATCTTCATTTTTAAGCAAACAAGTCTCCACTTTATTTAACACAAATCTTCAGGGACCTGTATTCAAGTTTCACTGTGCTTACATTTGAGTTGTCTTGGTTTTGACGAACTCCTTACATCGTTATATACGAAATTGTAACAGATTTTACAACACACCAATATGATTACTAAGATCCAAGTATAAAAGAGATCCCGGTAAAAATGGAAAGCCTCTGAGTTATACATGAATAAGGAGAGCTTTGAATGTCGCGGTAACAGTCTCAGCAAATTAGAAACCGAATTGTGCAGTAAAAACTGAAATCACTAAGTGTTTACTGTCATTTGCAATTGAGCTTTAATTATTAATTATGATCAAAGAGACCTGTCAGGAGAACTTCAGGTGAATGTATAAATAATAAAACAGCCATTCAATTTTGCGTTTCTTTAATCTATTAGTCGTGATTTGACATCGTTGCTGTTAATTAAATAAGATATAGGTCATGCTGCTTTCAACCAGTAAAAATGTGATACGCCTTGTGGACAAAATCGATTGTAGTTGACTGGATAAATCAATTTTGCTTTCATTAAGAAAGGGTTATTCCGGTTTATTCACCATAACGCTATTACTACTGCATACAATGTTTGATATCCTAGGTCATGTAAGTAGGAATGTGATAGTGCTAAACTTTATTTGAACTCGATAACAGTATAGTCGGGAGTTTCATGTAACAGGCTACTGGATGAGACAACAGGCTTAGCCTATATAAGTCCTCTCATATAATGTATTGAGGAATTCATCATGTGAACCTGTCCAGGTCAATTGCAAAATGACCGTTGGAACATTAAACGCGTAGAAAATCAATTAAAATCAATTTCATAATATACGAATATCGATTCATGAGTCTGACATTAATCTACATAAAATTCCATTATATGTGTATATCATAAGTGTGCCTGTGTGTGTAACGTCGGTGATTGCATGTGTTTTACTGGTAATTGTCTGCGAAACACGAAACACGAAACACGAAATTTATATAAAAAAAAACATTTTTACTTTCTGATTTACGATCCGAGGTTTATGGCTTTAAAAGAAGAAATCCATGTAGATATCATTATTATGTAACATAAAACAACGTTAGAATGGTGCATGCTGCTATAGATTAATGGTTACACAAATATGTTTCAACAAAGATGACGGAACCCCATATAAAATATATTCTAAAACAGTCGTGTTCATAAACTAGAATTATGATCCCAAAACACTATATCGCTGAGGTTATTAAATGTTTTGGTTATGGCAAGTTGTAATCAACAAATCCCCGAATGGGATGAAACAGTTCATATGGACCGATTGTCTGTAATTTCATATATATTCAGTTAATATAATTACAGTTTTTTCATTATAGGCTAATATCGATTTTCGTGCACAAAAGTCTTAAGTGTTGGTTTGGGCAAAACTTATTGACAAGATTGTCTGGCAGCTGTTGTTTTATAGTTTACAATAGATTACATCAAAGCTTCAGACAAAGACAGAGTGACATCGAAACCACATAACAAACACAACGCTATCAGTGGTTAGTGATACATCAGAGTATAACGACCTCAGCTGACTGTAGGACGCTTTCAGGTTAATTAATTTCATTTGTTAAGGACAAATAGGATAACAGAAATCTGAAATGTTTATACTAAGCTTCGACTTCTACCATTGGAATCCAGTAGTTTGTGCGTACGCGATAAGGTCTACCTCAATAAGCTAGGGATAGTTATAAACTTAAGCATCCAAGTCCCTTGGTATTAATGCCACGCGTCTTGCATTCATAAAGTGTATAACAAGCATGTCCTGATAGAGACATTCACGGTAGCAGTTGTAATGGTAAAATTCAGTGTGTGTTTGGCGTTGATACTGACGGTATATAGAAGAGAACATAGTGGTCCAAACATAATGTTTGTATCTGTTTAAAATGAAGCCTATCATACATATTTACGCTGCGATATGATCAATGATGTTAAATCGTAATTATATTGTTGAATGGATTTTCGTGTCCACCATCGTGATTTTACTGTAAAAACACACGTACATTCAAAACAAATATAAAGCACTAATATCAAACAGAATCGATATCACATTTACGATCATGTATGAAAGCACATATGCATTTGTAAAGATTGCCAGTTGACATTTAAAGGACAGTTCCGTACCGAAGTATATTAACTAAAAGTAGCTACATGTAATTTCAAAACGGTTTATGTCACATACCTTTTTCTCAGCAGTGAGGACATATCTGTCGAAGACAATGCTTTCCTACTTGTCCTGTTGACTACTGGTAGTAAGTTGTGTATGCCTCGTTCCACGTGTCTCGGCTGTCACATTCGATTAGTGGCTCTGTGGTTAGCGCCTACACGTCTGCAGCACTCTACATGTACAATGCATGACCACAATTAGTAAATGGCCGCTTAACGTTTAACTGGCGGGGTGGCCGCTTTGAAGTGGCGAGGGTTTGCTGCATGAACTAAATACCGCAGGAATGAAAATCTACACCACGCCTAACATGTCAGTGATGTTCAAAGCTTTTAAATGACTTTCCACTAAATGTTCTGAATGGCTAACGTCACTTCTCATGCTTTCAGAGTCTTGATGCAATATGTAATTTATCAAAGCATACATGTACCAAGTTCCGCCGATGAATAAAACCCATAGGATGTTTACGTTCCACCTGCTTCCTGTTCAAGTTCACGCATGTGTTTCACACAATAAAATCAACACAGCAGGGGTTGGTCCTGAAATAGTCACGCTTTGACGCACCCTATTGCAGCGTGAAGTTATATGCAGCAAAAACAAAGATACCCACTTACTGTTACAGTTCAATTAAAATAAAGTATTGGCATTGTTGCCATAAACGAAAATCGAACGTGATCTTCTATACAAAACATACATGTACAAAGTTCCGCCGATGAATAAAATTCATAGGATGTTTACGTTCCACCTGCTTCCTGTTCAAATACACGCATGTGTTTCACACAATAAAATCAACACAGCAGGGGTTGGTCCTGAAATAGTCACGCTTTGACGCACCCTATTGCAGCGTGAAGTTATATGCAGCAAAAACAAAGATACCAACTTACTGTTACAGTTCAATTAAAACAAAGTATGGACATTGTTGCCATAAACGAAAATCGAACGTGATTTTCTATAAAAAAAAACCCACCAGAATTTATGTTATGCACTTCAACATAACCCACTTCAGTTTGACGCGTATCTGACTTATTTGGTAAGTGCAACATATTGGTTTCCGTTGATGCAGTCACTACTAATAGTTTATCTGACAAAGGATAACGTCATAAAGGGCGTAAACCTTTTCTATAGAGGTTTCATTGAAAAGAATCGCACAAAATGTTATAAATTATATGTCAACGCAGACATACACTGAGGTCAGATATGTCATTTAGATATACAAAGCTAGTGACACTGGAACGGAAACCCATAGGCCTGTAGATAATGCACATAGCCATATATACAGGTACTTTTTATAATTAACTTTCGATTTTCTGTAGAATGTCTAGCTAAAATTGAAACAACCTAATTTAAAAATCGACAAAGTCAATTATGTAACATTTACTCGAGTCCAATTGTAGTTATCAAACGATAGCATCAACAAATTGAATTAGAAAGTTATATTTTAATATTGGTTGTTTTGTTCGTCGTAACAATTTTCCTTTTGTCTACTTTCACAAAAAAGTAAAGCAAACTGTTTTTTTGCCGACCGTTTTTACATCTTCAATATTGGTTATATAAAAAAAAAAACTAAAGAGAAATAAAATGATCGATGTTGCAAGTTAATGATTCTAAACCGTAATTTTAGAAATACTTAAGTGTGTCGAAGGATTATTGTATGTATAGGCGTTCGGAAACAACTTGCATTATGCATGGATAGTGTTTGACCCCAAGTAGGTTTAAAAGTAACTTAAAATTGAGACTATATATTTTACCTATATTTATAAGGATGTGCTTACAGAATCATAATTCGAAATCAAAATCGACACAACAAGGAAATGATTTTCATATCACCCCTTTAAAACATGAAAGGAAATCAGACCAAGTGTTCCAGAAGGGAAGGCGTCATCTGCCTCATCGACGATACCCGCCGTGTGAATCTGGGTTAAACATAAGTCATGTCACGTCCCCAAAATGAGGGCTGTTGTGGTGACAATTAAAAAAGGCAAGTTAATTAGCATAATTGTAATCATAGACATGTATATGGCACAATGAAGTAGAACATTTACTAATTTGGTCGTGTGCTGGCGAACACAATTCTAGTTTACAGTCTCTATCAACCTGAATCTCTCTGACATATATCATAGAAATCGTTAAACGTGGAGGAAATCTTTGACAACCGAATCAACTGTGAGATGTTAACACCGTAGATGGGAGAAGAAAGGTAGTTACTTTCAGGAAAGGGATACTTCAGGACATGAAAATCGAAACCTTCACATTTATCGTACCTATAGTAAGCCGTTTATGTTGGTCAAGGTGTATTTGAAGGTCTATACAAGAGACAGATGGAGACCGCCCAATGTTCTGATTTCGAGCCCAGGAGTGTATATACGATTGACATGGCTAATAATTTTCGGACTATTTTGATGTATTGACTATACTTGAAGGTGAAGTAAAGTGATATTTTTGTTACCCGTCCTGTGAAGTTTCTTCGATCAATATAGTCTCATCAGAAAACCCAAATGCAAGTTGGGCAGGCGAGAGACATAGCTGTCTCCCATAGAAATACCTACAGTCTGCCTGCTAATCTTGTCACTGAACTCTACAGATATTGTCCGACCAGGAACGCAGTCCCATACTAAGCAGATCCTTGGGGTTAGTTGCGACAGCGGAGTCAAGAATGCCGACCTGTGTTTCGTATTCATTTTAGTTTTCAAACCGCTAATTCTTTTTAATGATGGACATGATAGAGTTATCCTATTCTGAAAGTGAATCCTATTTAGCATTCACTCATATTGCCAATTGTCTGACATATTCTTTAACAGTATCTTAAAAATAATATTCAAACTGATAGTAGGGTTTCCTCGCATTGTACGACATTTCATGAAATGTTTTACCTTATTGAATTTTTTGATTACCAGTTATAACATTGTAATTGTTATACGATTCCAGCTGAACCATTTTAAGTCGAGGTGTAAACCAAGAACATGCTGAAGTTATTCTTAGGTAATAAAATACAGCTGCGGAAGCTGCAAAACAAGGAAGCAATGGATTTTGAATAACAACATGACTTGATTGGGTTAGATCTGAAGTACGGTTATATGTAAGCTACATGTAAGACGGAACTATGTTGTAAACTATATAACGAATATAAATGAGATATTAATAAATATATTCACATAAACAATAACACTGAATATACGTATAGCACAACTGTGTTTGCAATGCACCTGTTCACTACTGGAATGCAATACAGCATATTGAGCTTGAAATATATTTCTCTTATATTTTACATTCATATTTACATCATTCCCCGAGGTTGGCTGTAGCCTTACAGCAGGAATTTATCCCAGCAAAGTTTACTTGAAATTCTAGCTTCAGTACGAATTATATGTCGTGACCAAAAGTTGTTAAAAATGGTTTTGTTAGCAGATCCCTTCCTTTTTTCGCTGTATTTTACATTTATTTTTGGAACATTGTACACTTTTGATCTTCAAAATCCCTGATGAATCCAAAAGAACGTTATCATCTTATGGTGATGCAGTATGAGATTAACTCCGTTTGGTTTTCTGCATCAACAAATACAATTTTGAATTATGTGCTTCATTTCCTGGTAGCTGTAGCGCTCAATGTAAAGCAATAGGTAAGTGGTTCACAAAATTAGGCATGAAAAGAACACGTAACGCCTTCTTCATGATCATACATATCTTAGTGAAACAACAAAACTTCCTTTAAAGATTAAATCTACGATATCGCCATACCAGCGCATTACGATTAAAAGGGTTTTGTGCATATGATGGTTAGGATGAATAATAAAAATTAAAAAAAACAAAAAAATAAACAAACAAACAAGCAAACAAAAGCATTGGAATATTGGCAACAAATGCTGGAATATGTTCCAGAATGAAGAATGACTGACTTGCCTGACTAGTGATACAGATCGCATATATGCAGACAAGATACAATGAAAGCCAGAAGCCAGCTGCTGAAAGTTTACAAGGTCTTGGCCCAGATTTTCTTGCTTTAGATTATACATAGACAGCAAAGATCTCTATAGACTAAAGCTTTATCAATATTTACATCAGGGTAAATTAGCCTGATCCTAGATATGTTTAACTGAAATCTAAAATCCACATCAACATGTGGTATATATCACTTCTGATATCTTGTTAAGCCATGCACGAATGATTCAAGTTGATTGATGGTTTGAAACAGATTTTTGTATGGATAGCTAAATGTCACAGTTTGCATTAAACAGACTGTACGGACTAACACGAGAAATCAGTACGGTTGCTTTTGGAAATAATCTTCTAGCGGGAGATCGAATATCTAGATAACCGAAAAAAAACACATTAGGTTATATCATCTATTTGTTCATTTTCTGTGAATCTTTTTTCTTAACTTAAAGCGATCACGAAATCATACTATATACGCCGTAATAAACAGCGACAAATAGGAATCAACTGTTCGTGTAGTACAAAATAGGGCTTCATCTTAAATAATGTAACCGATATGCATTCAAACCGCATATGAATATTGAAAAGATATAGTTCAATCATTATATATACATTCTAATTAGTTTTGTTATTATTGACCAAATTTAAGATTTTCACTTATTTTAGATATTAAAATGTCTGTGTCCTTAGTGCAAACGAGATTCTCGGAACAACTTGACGTTGCCAAAATGATTGCTTCGAACGGTTGTCTCATGATCTTTGAGGAGAAGCTCCAAATGACGCTGGTCAATGAATGTATTGTTTTCGAAATGCGTATAGAGGAGCATGCAATGGAAATGTAAACATAATAATTTGTGTACTACATGAACTTATTCTGTAGATGCTTGCAGATGACATGACGCATAACAACGACCAATATAAAACCTGATACTTATATGAAACAAGAAGGTAAAACAATTGGTATGAACGCATGTGGGAAAAATCACAGGTTTCCAAAATAAACAAAGTTCAACTATCGAATTTTATGTAAAGGCCAGGTTAAATCACAATTATCTCCCAGATAGGATTTTTTTGTGTGTTAAACAGTGTCATATTAGGGTGAGCTAATTTAAACATGATAAGAAATAACACTGTTGTTCGATAATCTGACATAATACCAACGCCAGAACATCTGCTTTGTCAAAATTCAGGCCGTACGGATCAACGTCACATTCTGCTAAAATATGCTGATTGGCAATGAATACTAAAACGAAGAAAACTATCAGCACCAACCAAAGTCGTAATGTGCCCCACTCTGGATGAGACAGGAGTTGACCAATAGACGTAAAATATCAGACATAATAACGAAATATCATTGGCTCAGTCTAGAGTTTGGCATTAGAGATCAATATCATCTTGTCAAAGGAATGGAGACCGGCTTTGTCAAGAGTTAGGACTCATGGATCAACGACAAACTAGAACTACAATGTTGCTGACGTATGTTTATACATTTTGTACATCTACATTTAGTAAAGCGGTCCAATGTTTGCTTAAACATGATATGCATAGTAAAATTCTGATATAAGTTTGCTACTTTTTACAAGTCATGATAGTTAAGGACTCCGGTTCCATGCTGTCGTGTAAAAATAAATCGTATTTTGGCATGGAAACTTGGGTTTCAGTAAGTTAAGAGCCTCTTTGTGATATAGCGTTTCACCTGCCGCCAGAAAGACAGAAAAACGTCCGTTGCTTTAAAGGAGGGCATATTAATCAACGCATTCAAGTATGTGTTTTTCATTTGTAGTGCATTCCTTCGCTTTTCGATACCGTCAGTTACGTTGCCTAATTTTATAAGTAAAGCTCTTCAGGTCATAAGTGAGATTTACTGAACAAGACCGTGAAACCATGTACAATGAAAGTGAGTGATGCACATCGTTTTGATGACACACACGATTACTAAGTATATATATTCATGTTGCATAATATCTGCACTTTAAAATGTATTTCAATACT